GCAATTGTCCAAGCTATGCTATCTCACGTTCGGTCCCAATTTGGGGAGGCCTTCCGCTATTGGACAGAAGTGATGAGTAACCTTCGGCGATTCCACTTAGCCAGCGGGCGCACAACACGCACAATCCTCCTCTCCCAATGCGACGTTTTACATCGCCACGGGCTCCTTGATCTTGAGCGAAAAACCCGGGACCAACTAGATGCTCTTCAAGAATGTGCTGACGTGGTTGGAGCTTTGTACTGGATTTCTGGCCTGCGTCATTGGCTGGACTATTTGGAACAATGTAATTGATTGTCATCATTTTATGCGGGTTTTCGCATTACCATGAGATTCATTATGATCTGCATCCTTTGGAGGTGATTTTGTTCCCGCGTTGCGACCCATGGGCCTGCTGAGGTGACAAAGTGCCATCCGAAATGATCCTGTCGTAGTTGAATTGACCTGTTCTAGGGCATTATACAGATACGCTCGAAATAATGTCGGAGTAAATCGTATTCCGTATTATAGGTGTCCAATCAATGGTGTTCAAGTCTCTGTCTTTCTGTATCCACTATTCTGGCAATTTATACTATCATAATTACCTAAGAAATATTACAGCATAACGTATTTCACTACCGAGTGGCCACCACCCCAGTAATCAATTGAGAAGCTTCTTGAACTGAGAGGCCTTCTTCGGCGGGTATCTGCCTTCGGGACCGAGTACGCTTTTGCTTCTGCTTCTCATTTTCGGCGCGTAATTCCTGGTTTTCTTTGGCGAGTAAGATAGCACTTTGCATTGTAAGACGGAAGCCTTTTATAAGCTGGTTTAATGCACGGTCGGAAGGACTTGGTGGGCTTCGAGATCTTGTACGAAGTAGAGCTTTGATTGACGAAGCCTGTCGACATAGTTCTTTCTCTGCAGCTGGTGTTTTTGGTGTAAAAATGTGCGCCCTCACAGCCAATGAGCCCTGTGACTGTAAAAATGTGCTCAGTCATACAATAATTGGCTCGCCAAGGACTTGTTATGACTCCCCTGCGATGTGCAGGCACCTCTCCGTGGTGCTGGGGACTAGTATTCGAGTATCCCAAGAGTATTCGAAGAAGCAAAGACCTGCGCCACATTTTCATATTTTTCGTATTCCAAACCATCATTGGAGATTTAGATTGAGCCCTAGATAGATTCGAAAATTCAAGACCCAACCTTCGTCGTCGAGCGCCGTATTCCTTACCCTCCTGTCTTGATAGTCTGCGATCTAGCTCTCCCGCCGCAATAGAATGCATCTCTGCCATCAGGGCGTAGAGCGAACCGAGACGTGAGTGTTTTGGCCCGTCGCGGATGTGTTAGTGATTGTTGGTTATTGTTGATGAACGTTGATGAACGTTGATGCGTGTTGATGGTGGTGGTATATGGCCAGGCGGTGAAGTTGAGTTGTGGTCATCGTGTCACGGCCTAGCGCGAGCCCCTTTCTTACCTACCATCTTTCTCACCCACATGACTAGACTTCAGCAAAGCCTAACCAAGCCCATTTCTATGCACAACTACGGTCTTGGCATTATAAACCTGCTGATTAATGCCTGTTTTTTATGCATGTTCCAGTCTGCAAGCCCAGATCTCGGCCCGACGTTTTCCCCGGCCCAATCCGGGGGTTCAACTCCCAATCCGGGGGTTCAACTACTCCAAGAAGCAGGGTATCAAGATTCAACGGCAACGACCCGGTAATAAAAGTCATGGAAAACAAAGGCTACACTATAGACCCGATTGCATAGGAATTACCAAGAAAAAGTCGGATTTGACCAGGATTTTGTACTATTCTGGCACTTAAAGGATTAGTGAGCGTCAGCACATAGATATATTTATTTCATATAGACAGAAGTAGGTGTATCTTCCTGTTCAAGTATGACACTTTCATCAGTGGAACTCCTCATTTGTAGGCTTATAGGATTCAATACATGCCGAAAGCTAGTTAATTTCTCACAATGAGTGTCCGTTTCCACAGATAATTGATACTGGGAAAATCTGCATTTTTTATGCAAATGCTAAAAGTTGGCATGTCTGTATTGTTTTCGGCCCACTGGGCCCCCAAGAAAGCCCCGGGGGCTTCTACCTTAGGCCCATAGCCCATCTGCGGGTTGGGGTCGGGTTGGGCCTTGGGCTTTTGGGCCGGTCCGGAAGTCTACATATGACAGAGATAACAGTTTCATTGTTTCACCCTGCGCCATTTGGCATCACTTGCTACGATGGTCCCCTGGTGTTTACTCAGTAAAGTTCGCACACAGCCTCCAATTCGATTGAGCTGGTCCAATGCAAACACCAATATTCCTCGGTGAAGCTATAATTAGGCAAAACACCCACGATCTACCAGGTGTAGATGAAGCATTGAATGAGCGCTCGATATACATTTTGTTGCTCAGATAATTATGGTGATGCGATAGACTGTTCCTCGCGTAGTCAAATTTGCCGCTTCAGGCGGCTTGCAAGTCACTCACTCTTACTTTGCTGTAGAATGCCTACATCCACAACGGTCGTGAGTCAAAGTGGATTCCCAATAAAGACAACGAAGCAATTGAGGGGCTTGGCTCGAAAATTTCCGATTGGCTGCTTCTACATGGGAGCCGTCGCAACCTTGTGAATAATCCCGTAAGCAACTACGATTTATATCGCTTGTCCTCTCCCATTATCAACATCCACTACTGCACCCAAAGCGATCGCCATTGCTTTTTGGGCATAGTACCCAAATTCACGCGATCGAGCATACTCTACTGTGCAGAGAACATGTATCAGCCGGATCGGGTCTAGCAAGCGCCATCTTGACCAGATCTGGTAAAGACGATTCCGCCAACATTTACAACGGACTTTGGTGATGCGATCTACTTGGATTGGAGCCCCAGCAGACATGCGCGTAACCAATCCCGCCGAAAGCAATCATATGAATGCTGATTAGGGGTAGAAGTTTTAGCATAGGCTGTCATAGATAGTCAGAGAGGTCGCACAGAGGATGGCTCTGAGTAAAGTTGTGCAGACATCCAACTCACCTTTACAAAGGATCTGCTTGAACAGTGATATGCCAAATGTCGTCCAGGGAGCGGTGAGGCTTGACAAAATATATTTGATGCCCAAGGACAGGGGACGTAGGGGACGTAAAGAGCTCGGCCATTCCCTGAGAAAACCGCTTGCACGCATGTCAGAAGACGATTTCGGTGATAGATACACGCGCTCGGGTTGACTAACCTGCAGATGCAGTGACATCCAGGGGAAATGGTCTTTGCACACGTTACTCGGCTTGGATAGAAAAAAGCGTGCTTAGGCATCAGATCCAGCCAGCGTATATCCAAAGACACCACAACAATTCTGACGGTGCTCTTGATGCAGCGTCGTGCATGTCCGGCTGATTCATTTTCACTTGTTCGTTTCCGCTTGTTAGCTCCACCCGCTGGAATACATTGACCGGCTCAGCAACGCGGAATAGGATCAGGTAAAACTATCGGACGGCATCTCTTTGCTCGTGCTCTCTAGTTGACTCGGCTATGACTCGACACCCTACCGTCTCCTTTTATCGGTTCGTACCTGATATGGCCAATGTTCATCTGTAGGCTCGAGGTAATGGGATCCCGCCTCATCTTCTCCATGCACGCAGACTTAAGACTCACAGCCTGCTTGTCGGCGGAAGTCGGACTCGTCCGCCATGAGTCAGCAGACTGAAACATGAGCTCATTCCGGTGCCTGTCGAGCTGCCAGACATCAAAAGACGCGAGATGCCAACCGAGGACAATGAGCATCACCCATTGGACGCCAGGAATTCGATCCACAAGGAACCTATTCTTTCGCGGTGTTCTAACACCGAGACACGATGGTATAAGCCCATTATGGCCTGAGCTTCGTATCGGGTAGACACATCAGCACATGACTGGTGCATAGTGTCGACTGAGAGAAGGGCCGAGACGATGTGAACCTTCCAGTCATTCATCGTCCATGCCACCAGTGGTCATGAGGAGGAGACAGATAGCTTGCGATCGCTTCGGTATAGGGGAGCTCGAGCAGACAAGTTTGCTCGCTTCGCATTCAACTCGAGTGACGGGAATATGAGGGGCGCTGTTGTACGATCCGAGTCAGTAAGGCTTACCACTTGGACGAGATTTCATAATTTACCTTTTCATTTAGTTCGCAGAACGTTCGCTTAAGACGAGACGATCAATTAGCTTTGTGGTCATATCTTACCGACGGGATCACTTACAATTGTATTCATCAATGCGTCACCGTTCATCCCATATTGACATGATGTTGCATCCAGTTTGTCACACTCTCCGGTTGTCGCTTCGAAGAAGGCGCGCTGGGTGCACCGGGCAATTTCTGAGAGCCAAAGGCGCGTGACGAACCTGTGACAGGAAATTGTACAGCCGTAATGGGATAAAACCTCGCGATGGGGACGGCAGAGCTTCATACACTCCGCCGTTCATGGTGCGAGGGCGGTGAGATTGAGGCGGAAGACGCGATGGATCACGCGTCGTAGTGACGTGACGTGGTCTTATCTCCGATCCGGCGATAGGACTCCCAAGATGGATGTTTCACAGTGGCAGTGGGCTGCTCCTATGTACAGTGGCATAAATATCAGTAATGGTATTGGTGATTTGGAGCACAAAAATTCGCAACAACTGATATAGCGCAGCGGAGGATGCGATAAATCACTCACATTGTC